CTCTCATTGTGCACATTCATTATTTCTAATCAACTCAACAATTACTGCCGTTCTTTGTTTAATAGAATTATCGATGAGAAATCTTTCATTGTTTTGTGCTGAAAATTCACAGCCAGATATGATTCAAGAGCTGTGGATTAATGAAAGTGCAAGAAATTTTGTGGTTAATTTGAAAATTTTTGCGGAAATTGATGGATGCATTGGGAAGAATTTATGGAATAATTTTCGTTAATTAATTTGTCTTTCGACTGTTTCGTTTTCTAATTTATTGTACAATTGCTGGATGCGTTTACGAATAAAGCTCGTTCTGGATTTGGTTATGATTTTATAGGATTTTCGGGTTTTTCAACCAACTCATCACGTTTCCATGTTTTCATTGGACACTCTCACTTCCTTGTTCAACGTAAACGCCATGTGATGAATAAGAAAGAACTGTCGAGTATTTCTAGTGAAATCGCATGCTGTCAATTTCGAATTTCCTGCATCAACTTGAAAATCTAAAAAACTATCGTACAGGTCAGTGTTCATCCATTTTACGCATTAATCTTTACACCCAGATTATGATAAACTTATTCAAGAAGCCCCTGAACAATCATGAACCCACTGCTGTGCGCAATCGTTTACTTCAAATGGCTCTTGCTATCCGTAGCTAATCGAGAGCAATTTTTCGTTGAATATCACGCATTACTATCGGATTTTTCAGCCAGAAATTGAAATCCTCGATGATGCGTTACATGGATTCGTAAAGAGTTCATGGCCTCACTCCTAACAGTCGATTCCGTTCGATTTGATTCAGTCACTTTTTGCAAGCTTTTTTTCTTGAATTTTTGGTTTTGAAGAAATTATTATAAAACTGATTGTTTTTCCGGAATAGTCTGGAATTCAACGTGAAAAATGACTCATTTCAGGATAAGTGCCACATGTGAATGAGATTATCAATTGAGCATTCGAGTTACTCGGTTACTTCTTAAGTTTTTCGAATGATAAACGCGAAATCTTTTCAAGTCGTACTCGAAATCGAACATGAGTAGCAGTGAAAAAGAGCACTATCAGATTGTGGCGAATTGATATATCGCGTGTCCAAATTTGATCGAATTTGCTATTTTATGATAACTTCTTATGTTTGGTGCAAAATTCCATCTGATAAATTGGATTATTTGATAAGACTTGTCAATTTATATTCCAATTTGATATTCTAGTCAGCGAGAATATTCTAGGTATTTTGTTCCACTCTACAGGAATTCTCGAATGCTCTGTGGAAATTTACGAGATGTTGTCGCGTCCACTTAAGAACTATGTGTGATTTCAGGGTTTTTGTGTGATGAATAAACGCCGGGAACTGGAAATGGAGCATAATGTGTTCGTTCGTGGCCTGAAAATTCTCTTCTCGTCATTCTACTTTTATATTGCCGCTATTGTCAATTGCATTTCGTATACGGCTCGAAAACAGTATCGAACGGTTAGTGCTTGTTCTTTTTATAAACTTTTATTCCACTGAGCTGTTGCAGTAATTCAGTTCGGTTGCAGTAAAATTCTGGTAATTATGTATTTTAGGTTGGTAAAATCAAAATGGCATTGAGTTCACATTCGCAGTCGAATATGTTACTTATTGTTAGTTAGAGCAGAGCAAGTAACGTTTGCACGAACGAAATGCCGATGTGATTTTACCAACCTGAAATACAACATTCCCAGTGCTTCCAGCATCATTTTGTTTTTCGTTCATTTCGTTTATAGAATCTTGTTCCACTCGTTGTTCTCAAATTATGTTTGCAACCACCGTTTGTGAATACTCGATTTATATCTGAATATATTTTTTTGAATTTCGGAATTTCCTATCAAATTAGTTTTTAGTTACAACTGATATAATGAAAAACGATATAAACGCATTTCATTCTTAGAAATGATTTTGTTTTCAGCTCCGAAAGCGTCAAGTGGTCCGATATGAATGTGTTCCATTATCACCGTTGTCTGCACGTCGTCTCAGTATGTTTATCTGATTGTTCTATTTTACGGCGAAGGTTTTTAAAATTTCAGTTGGCTGTATAGGTCACTTCTTTTGTATATATACTTCGTTTAGTTCATAATGAACGACAGCTGAATGGGAATCCACTGAATACAACTGTAAGTGATGTGATTCA